GAAGAAAAAATTCTTAAGCAACTTCATTTGATAAAATGAGTTGAAAAACAGAACAGAAAATTATAAAATATTCAATGTCAGGAAATTCTCGATCGATATCAGGATTCATACTATATTCAGGATTCAGTTAATTTCATACGCTTACATCAAAAGAATAAGCAAGTATTGATTATTTCTCTACTCGTATTTTTTTATTATGACTTAAAATCCTGTATATTTTAGTTTTGGTTTCAATACGTAAGTATACGAAGCGAATATTTTATTTTTTATTGCCTTAATTATATCGCTAATGCAATTTCTATGAACCTATTAATCATTTATGAGAGCTTAGTCATTGGAAAAGAAAATGAATGATGAATTGATCCGTTACTGATCTAAGTTTGTAGAACGCAAGCATTTTGAAGATTTCCCAAGGAGCCTATGAACTACTTATTTACCATTTTCCTTCAGTGATGATAAAATTATTCTGTTGCAGCGGCGCGGTTTATTTGAAGTTGATGTTTAACCAGTTCTAGACTTACTTTCATTATGTGCTGTTAATTGAAATGATAAATAACAAATGATTTATTACGTACTGTTCATGGAAATCTATTTATAATTTGGCACGTAGGGAATAAATATAATAATTTGCATATTTGAAGGAAAGACAAAATCGATTTTGTCTACCTTTCAAATAATTAAGTTTAAATTTGTTAAAACTATTAAATCTCTGGTTGTTTTAAAAAATGTTAAATGTGATATGCTAATTTGAAAAAAAAATGTTACGTAAATGTTTTAAATTACTTTCCATGCTAATAAAAGAGTCTGGTCTAAATTACTAGAATGTGGTAAAACTTAGCTTGTTTCTGACTGTATGGAAGCACAAAAAAGCTCCGTAAATTTTAAGGAAATGATTTAGTATGTATTTCGGTAAAAATAAAAGGGAAGATAGGTTTTTATAATATGAGATAAAATTTGATAAATGTGGTAACATTTAGTAATTTTACTATGATACCCTAGTGCAGGGATGGCGAACCAATGGCGCGCGTGCCATATATGGCACGAGACACAATATTTCGGTCACGCCACCGATCACATTTGTTATTACACAATGAATTGCTATTACACAAATGTTATTACACTATGATGCATATGTAACAATTTAATTAAAATTCACAAAAACAAGCAAAATAATAAACAATTATTAATAAAAAATTAACAATTAATACTAAAAAGACAATCAATAACCATAAAAAACAAGCTAACAATAAACAACTAGCAAAAAAAAATTAACAGTCCTGCTTAAACTAACATCTTACAACCTAATATAAGTTATTTGTCATCGAATCTGCAACAACAGAAGTCACACTGATGTTACTTTAAGTTGTTTTAAGACATGTCAAAATGTATTTTTTTTCAATGCAAATAAAGAGTTTTGAGTTGATAGTGTTAAGTATTATTATATTCCCAATAATCACGAAGTCAAAATTATTTGACGGCACGTCTATGACCTCATTAAACAATTTTTTAGAAAAAAATGCACGATGGTGTATAAAGGTTCGCCACCTCTGCCCTAGAGCATTGCTTGAAAATCATATATTCATAGGTTAAATTCACTTTTCAGTTCTTTACTTTTTACTAATTGTGGGGCAATAAGATCTATAATTTTGAAAACCAGAATTTCTGGTAAGCCCTAATTATAAGACTGGAAAAACTACAAAATTAATGGTTTAAATATCATATAGTTTGGTTTTATTAATGAAAATTAGTTTTTTTAAGTAAGACTGACGTGCTGCTTACTAGTCTTTACCATACAGTACTGTAATTTAATCAGAATGCTTTCCACCGCGCAAAATAAACTATGTGTTTTACACAGAGTTTACTTTTTCTCGCTTCAAGTATATTTAAAATAGTTAACGAGTCGACAATATGAAAATTTTCTATGTAAAACACTTAGTAATTTCTTTAAAATTTATTTGATTTTGTAAAATATTTAGCAGCACGACTATCAATAAAGTTGCTTTTGGTGCTTTTAACAAAATTAAAGCACATTAATCTTACAGGTTCTAGACATATAAACGTTCTAATGTAAAATGAAACCAATATTAACTGAAGATATATTGTTTAATACTATGGGTATACTGTATACTATTTGTAATAAATGAAATATTAGAAGCATTATTTTCAAAACTATTTTTGTTGAAATAGAAATGTTGAAACTGATTGAAAACGCAATTCATGTGCTAAAAAATTGCTATGAAATTCCATTTTTTAAAAAAAATTTAATACCAGATTTTTTTGCTGTTTAAAAAAATGTTAAAAATATTTTTCGCTCAGAAAATTAATTTATAAATGAAATTGTAATTGCGCAAAATTTTGCAGCTAATTTTGTGATTTTTCCGATACTAATTTTATGAAAAATTGTTCTCGAATTTGGCACGATTTTATAGCCAATGTTTTTCTTTTCTACCTGAAGTATGAATAAGTGGCATTATTGTTGTTTTAAATAACTGCATCAAAACAGACAAAATTGAATCACTTATGATTTTCCTGTCTCAAAGTCTATCAGCGTTAATGAAGGCATATGGTTAAAATGTTTTTTAATGGAGAAGTTATTTTTATGGCAATAATATTATTTCTAACATTGAATTTGCAATGAATAGAACGTATCTGTAAAATTCCTATTGAAACTTAGTTAATTGCTAAATATTTATTGAAACTATCCTAAACTTAGTCCGTTTAATATTATATTAAAAAAAGGAAACGTATGTGGGTGCATGATTAAAGGTGTAAGGTGTTCGCTTTGTATATTCGCTGGTTCCATTTCTAATTGAGACCGTTTTTTAACTTTTTCTTAATATATATTTTATATATGAGTAATTATGTATAATAAAATAAGTATATAAAGAGAAGTTCATTTTTAAATGTATTTACACGTTATAGAACACGTTTATATTTAATTACTTCTAATGAGACACATGTGTCACTTTAAATTAGTATCGTTATATTTTTAGTAACTAAGAATATTAAAATTATTTCGAAAGTAAATCATTTGTAATGTATAGTTTCTGAGGAAAGAAAAATATAACTATTTTAAATAGTTTCTGAGTAATTTTAAGTAAAGCATAAATGCAAATTTTTACATGTTCTTTGAAATTCATTGTTGATTTACTTACATATCGATAAAAGTTTCAGTTAAGAATAAGGAACACACTTACATATTTAATTTTTATTTAATTAGTAGGTTTTACAGCATACTCCCAGCCACACGCTAACCCACATGAATTGCCTTATTATTCAAAATTATTTTTATTTATTTACGATAAACAAATTTGAAAATCAAAATGATAAAATATTCAATTTAAAGATTCTAAAATGTTATATTTTATTAAGACAGGTTTGGTCTCAATATTGTTTGGTCCAAGTAAATCGAATGATTTTGCTTGGTCATTATTGCATTTTCCCCTTCAATCCAGTTTCATTATTTCTTTTATATTCTGTATTTTTGATTGCAGTTAAAAATAATTTAATATTTTAAGAGATTAATCTCAGAGAAAAAGTATAATCAAAACTACCGGAATACGGTTAAATTTACCTTGGTTCTGAATCTATAAATCACCAAAAAAACTCGATAATTTTCAACGAAGCGCTTTAGTAAAGATTTCGGCAAAATTAACTATAAAATAGGGTTTTATAATGCGTGATAAAATTTTTTAAATGCGGTATAAATTTGGTAATTTCTTATTATACCTTAAAGTATGGCATAAAAACCATTTATATGGTTAAATTTACCATTCAGTTTTGTATTTTTCATAAATGTGTAGCAATAAGAACCATAATTTTTAAAACCAGAAGTTCTGATATTATGGCTATAATGTGAACGAAAAAAAAAAAAAAAGAATAAGAACTGTATAATTTGCTTTTCTTATGATTATGATTATTTTTACTAGAAATATCATACAGTTTATTTTTACCAGAAATATCATATATCAAATATCATTACCAGAAATTCTATCGAAGTACGATAAATTTACCTGATTTTTTTTTCTTCAGGTGCTTAGTAATTTTAAATAGTTGTTTTGTATTCATTGTTTTAATTGGTGCGTTAACAGTAAATAAATTCATTAAAAAAATAAATACAACTTTTAAAAACTAAATATTACTTATTTACCATTTAAAAATAAAATAGAAACTCAAATGACAACTCTAAATGTCAACTGGGAAATTTTTATTTCAAGTCTATAATTTTGAATATTACTTTTTATCTTTGATCTTTTTATCTTTGAATCTTTTTAAAAAAATAGATGAAATTAAATAATAAGTTTAATATTAATACTATTATAAGTAAAATAGTTAAAGATTACTTGAAGAAATGGATATTAAATATTTCTGCATTCAAAACATACCAGAAAATAGAACAGTTAAATAAGAGATAAATGCATATTTCACAGGAAAATATCATAATAATTTTATGTCAACCTCATATTTCCAGATCTTTTCTGTTAACTGAAGATTTCAGCATATAATTTTTGTGTGCAATTAAAATGCCCCAGCAACAATGAGAAATAGTTTTAGGACTATTATATTCGTTTTGTTTCATAGAGATATTAAATTTTACAGAATAAACAGCAAAACAATTATATTTTACAGAAAATAAGAACGGAAAAATTGTTTATAAAAATATAAGGAACAAATTTCTGATAAAATAAAAGAATTGCAATAAAATATTTTAAAGAACGTGTCTGTAAAACTTTACGTATAGTAGAAAAGTTCCAAAATTTTAAATAGCTTAAAATGGTAAATAAATCACAAATTCAAATATATTAAACAGTCTAACGTACTTATAAAAACATTGATGAAACTTTTAGTTTTAAAAAGAGATGACACGCACCAATAAATAATTGATTTCACGTAAGATATTTCGCAATAAATTTTTTATATGCTTCGTAGTCAAATAATGACAACAATTACTTTTTCATATTTAGATCAACAATAAAAAAAAATCAACGAATTTAACTTACATGAATAGATCAGAATTTCGCAGGTGGAAAGTCTTCAAAACTTACAGAAATTGAAAATTGCTACAGTCCATAAAAACTGCGCTTTGCGAATGAACAGTGCCTTTAAAGACAGCTTTCTGGCATTACTCAGGATTTTACGCATGCGCTGTGATGATCTTTACCCTATCATCCCCCAATTTCCCTTACCTTAATAAGTGAGAAAGGCATGCTTTAGCTGGATTACGTGTAACTAGAAAAGCTTAGTATTTTTGTTTACCAATAGCTGTGAGGGAGCAGGACATAAACAAGAGTTATTTCTAAGAAGAAAAATCAATAAATTAGAAAATGATTCAAGGAAAGGAAATAATTTATTAGAAATGTTTACTGTAAATTATTTTTTTAATTCTCTTCCATAAAATCCTTTTCTCTTCATGAATTGAACAAATTTATTGTATTTTTGCTATATTAATTGTATACATATACTATCTCCATTATATATATATATATATATATACCCTAGAGCCATTACATTATGTGCACCCT